TTAATACAAAACTAAGCTATTTAATAATCTAATTAGACTAAAACCCGGCTGTCTTTTAAGATGCCCAAGTTTGGTTACTGCACTAATGTTGGCCACTATATCCTACATACGGTGCAATGCATTTAAAGATATGATCTAGCCTGGGCTTAGCTCCCATCAAATATTTACAATCTTTTAGTTCACCAACTTGGTAGGTTAGAACTTAAAATTCTTTGTCTTACTGCTACCTCCGACAAATGTTTTACCTCCGACTCTATCAACTGATCCACTCCTACAACTTTTACTCGCTTATTTGTTCTAGGTTGGTCTTCAACACCACTACTCTGACTAGAAACGACATTCTCCTTTCCGCGAGATTTTTTTCTTTCTTCATTTTTCTTTGGTCATTTTTCTTCAGCTCCATTATTATTTTCTTTCTCCTATGTGACAAATTTTCTACATCTATCATGAAAGTTTTGAAACTTATAGAGTATTTGAATCTTACTTATATATGTATTTTTTTTTTTATCGGGAATTAGTTTTTAGCATGAGTATGATTATTCGTCAAAATGTCTAAACCTTATAGAATATTTGAATCTTACTTATATATGTATTATTTTTTTTTATTGGGAATTGGTTTTAGCGTGAGTATGATTATTATTTGTTGAAAGATCTGAACCTTATAAATATTTGAATCTTACTTATATATGTATTTTTTTTTTCATCGGGATTTAGTTTTTAGCATAAGTATGATAATTATTTGTTGAAATGTTTGAACCTTATAGAATATTTGAATCTTACTTATATGTATTTTTTTTTTTATCGGGATTTAGTTTTAGCATGAGTGTGATAATTATTCGTTGAAAGTTTTGAAACTTATAGAATATTTGAACCTTACTTATATATGTATTTTTTTTTCATCGGGAATTAGTTTTATCGTGAGTATAATGATTATTAATTGAAAGTTTTGAACGTTAATAAAATATCTAAATCTTATATATTTTTTCATCAAATTTAAGTTTTATTGCAAGTATAATGGTTATTAATTGAAATTTTTGAAACTTATAAAGTATTTGAATCTTACTTATATATGTATTTTTTTTTCATCGGATTTAGTTTTTAGCGTGAGTATGATTATTTGTTGAAATATCTGAAACTTATAGAGTATTTGAATCTTACTTATATATGTATTTTTTTTTTCATCTGGAATTAGTTTTTATCGTGAGTATAATGATTGATTACTTATTGAAAGTTTTGAAACTTAATAGAATATTTGAATCTTACTTATATATATATATTTTTTCATCAGGAATTGGTTTTTTTTTTTTTTTTTTTTTAATATTAAGGTAACCACTTAGGCCCCTGGCACTTTATTAGTTCAAACGGGTGGGTCATTGTCCGAAGACTAGCTTACATATTATATCAGTATTACAAGAGTACAACTAGTCATACGTACAACTTTTGGTTGCCTATTTAAGTAGTCCGCCCGAAGTGTTAGTGCTATGCTAAGGGTTCTACACTAGCTATCATACCTATAGCATAACTAGGAAGTTATCTATTTAAACTCTCTGGCTTCAACCAATGTCACATGTTTCTTCCTAATATACCCCTTTCAGGAACAGTAATTTACCGTGAAAGACCCTAAGACTTTAGCCAACAACAGAAGGCATTTATCCTTGTGGTAAACCAAACAAAGTGGTGCCTGTCCCATATGGCTATTCACCTACATGTTTGGTAATTTTAGGGTTCCTAGGTTCAGTTCAGTTCAAATTCAGATTCAATAAACCTGAACTGAACCTGAACCTGAACTACAAATTTTGAACCTGAACCTGAACTGAACTTTGAATTTATGAATCTGAACTGAACCTGAACTTAAAGTTTTGGTTCAGTTCAGTTCAGTTCAAAGTTTATGAACATGTTTAAAGTTCAATAACAAAACATAGTAAAATTTCTGAATTTGGAGTTTTCAACTAACACTTTTTCTTTGCTAAATAAACCTTTTTTCAACTTCTAATAAAGGTTGTAGAGGTGTATCTTGCAATCAAAATGGCGGTTAAAACGTTAAAATTGGCCCAGTAGATCACGAGATATAAGTATTTATATCTTCGCGATTATATGTTTTCTTTTTTATATAAATAAAGAAGAAAGCATATAGTCGTGAAGACTATTCGCGATTTAAAAGTACTTTTTTACAGAATTACTGTAAGTACTGAAGTACTGAAGTAAAAATAACAATAACCCCATAATTTACAAACCAAAAACTTCACTTAGAAGCGAATTTTCTTATGATTTATTGCATGTACTAATAATATTAACTATATGTAAGTTCTAAGGTCAACAAAAAAAATGTTGAAGCATTATATTTAATATTTAGAATGTGAATACAGTTTGATGTGCTATTATAACAGTAATAAGCTTTACTAATGTTTATGGCTTGCATATTCTGAATATTATAGGATTCATTAATAAGAATAACACCGTGTTAAGATGAACCTTCGAAGGAAACAACCGAACCAAGAATATTTTTTTTCAATTTTTTTTGATTTACATTACATTGGCGCACACTGCTCTTTTTTTGTATAAATTATATCATTATCTCGTGTCAATTCATTAATTCTTAATGCTAGGCAAAGGAATGCCGATTAGTAATAACATGTATGAAGACTATTATTGTTTCATTAATTATATCAATATATGGACTAAAGGTAACGTCGTATCTTAATAAAGGTTGTGATGACTAAAAATAAGATTTATTTTGCAGTACATAGCAATAACTTTACAGAAAATATTTAAATAATCAATAAGGTGGATTTGGCTTCGTATTTAAAGCAATCTAGTTATTATAGAGATAGAAATATATCAAAATAAATAAATAAATAAAATTTTATTAAATAGAATCCGCTTAATCATATATTCATACCAAGTAGTTCTAAATTGAAATTCTTTCTTGCAATTATAAACTTTCTTATCTTCGCTTGTCCATTCTCAGATTGATATGTTTAGATCATATGTTAAATATACGCTTGTTGGAGCAATATACACGATTAAATAAAACAGAAAAAAAAAAAAAAATTTAAATAATAAACTATTTGCAAACTTGAATAGTTATTAAATATGGAAATACATTGTAAGATTACTTGTCTTAACCAATTTCAAATACTTATGTCTGTTTCGACCTAAATTCCTAAATGATAGCTAATAAACTTGATAAACTTTGCTACGTATAATTATTATATTAGTACATAAAAGTGAAAACCTGTAACTAATCATAATACAGTAATAAATTATTATGATAAATTACAGGTTTTCACTCTCATATACTCATATCTGAATATTTGATGATAAATAAACATCCTATCCCTTTTAGCACCAATTTCATGTTCGTAACGATAACCATATTTGAATTATTCAAATATGTTGACTTTTCCCTATGAATAGATTATAATAAATTGTAATTCAATATAGTTAGTCACAGTGTTCTGATCTATAATAATTAGAACTATTCTTGCGAGTACCTCTTTTTCTTCAATCAGACATTACGTATATTGTAACCATCGTAAGGGAGAGCTTAGTATGTGATCTATATTTATTGAGGAATTTAGGAGAGCAAAAGTTACCCTCAACTAAGGTGAAGACAAGCACTTATATACATGATAATATTTTGAGCGTGGCCATAATGACCACAATGTACAGCGTATTCGCTATAACGAAGTTATATACTTAGTGAAGTTTTTAATTCACGGATTTCACGCAGATTATTCTAGAATCGGATTTCCTAATTTGGACTGGATTATCAAAAAAAATATTACGTTATTAATTTTGTCCAATCAGCATGTTCAGGTTTATGAACATGTTCAGGTTCATGAAAATGTTCAGGTTTATGAACATGTTCAGGTTCATGAACATGTTCAGGTTTATAACATGTTCAGGTTCATGACATGTTCAGGTTCATGAACATGTTCAGGTTCATGAACATGTTCAGGTTCATGAACATGTTCAGGTTCATGACATGTTCAGGTTCATGACATGTTCAGGTTCATGAACATGTTCAGGTTAGGTTCATGAACATGTTCAGGTTCATGAACATGTTCAGGTTCATGAACATGTTCAGGTTCATGACATGTTCAGGTTCATGAACATGTTCAGGTTTATGAACATGTTCAGGTTCATGAACATGTTCAAGGTTCATGAACATGTTAAAATACTTCAGTATACGCGAATCTTTATTTACACGGATCAGCAAGAATGTGATATACAGCAATAGATTTTTTATATTATTTTTTTTTCGCTACTAGATTTTTTTATTTATTTTTTTATTTTATTTTTTTGTCTTCAGTGTCTAGTATTCTTCCCTTTCTGGTGTTATCATTCGTTGGTGTCGTCGATTTCTGGTGCTGTTCTTTGTTGGTGTCGCTGATTTTTGGTGTCGTCGTGTCGTTTCTGTGGTGCCCTGGTGTGTAGCTGCTAATACTATCGTTTTGGCTCTTTGTTTATAATTCATATATATTTTCACTTCTTTTTGTTGATTTCTAGGTGCCGTAGTTACGTTGGCTGGTAGTCGCGATTTCGGTGTCATTGCTGCCATTTGTAGGTTTTTTTGTATTTGTTAATACCTTCATTGTTGGTATTGGCATTTTAAACTTTCTTACTTCCGTACTGTTTTGGCTCTTTGTTTGTAATTCGTATGTACTTTTACTTCTCTTTGTTGATTTCTAGGTGACGTGGTTATGTTGGCTGGTAGTCGCGATTTTGGTGTTGTTGTTGCCATTTGTAGGTTTCTTGCATTTACTAATACCTTACCTTCATTGTTGGTATTGGCATTTTGAACCTTCTTACTTCCGTATGTTTTGGCTCTTTGTTCGTAATTCGTATGTACTTTCACTTCTTTTTGTTGATTTCTAGTTGCCATGGCTACATTGGCTAGTGATTCCTTAATTTTCAAAATTACTGAATCTTGTAGGTTTTAGATTTCGAATTAATCAATGACGTATTTACCGTATTTTTGTGACATCTGTACCTGGGTATTCCTCTAGTTCATGTCATGTACCCGAGTACTCAGTTACATGCCCGGGTATATAAGTATGATACCCTCACACTTATATACCCGTGTATAAATCAAGATTTGGCAGGCAATCTTAGTTAGAATGATTGAGTAGGTTTAAGATTATAGTTGAGTTAGCAGTAAATTTAGGGCTAGATTAGGATTAGGGTTAGATTAGGTTTTTTGGTGATGTTAACGATGGGTAAGTGCATTTATTACACAACAAGCTTAAAACGGCGTATATTGTCAGATTGGTTTTTTTGGTAGGGTTTGTGATAGATAAGTGTATATGTTGTATTGTATTGTAAATAAATATCAATTAAAAAATAAATAAATTATTATATATCGAATGCAATATCTAAAATTTGAGGTTTCGACTTTCGACAGAGGTTTCATCTAACAAGTTGTTAAACAAAACCTCTGTCAAAAGTCGAAACCTCAAATTCTTCTGACAAAAGTCAAAACCCTCAAATACTTATGACGAAAGTCGAAATCCCAAACTTAAAATTTAATAATAGTATCTATGTATCGGCAATTCGGCTTTATAGAGTAAGGGATAATGTTTTTTAAACTAAAACCCACTAGCCCATATATAGTAAGAAAACAAGAAAATTACAAATTTGATTATTTTTATGTATCGCATTCATTCCCACAAAGTCAAGTCAACTCAAAAGCCTCATAATGTGGTGCTACTACACAATCGTATTATGAAAGAAAACATGATTAGCAATTAGCCTGCTAGTGTAAATTAGTCTGGAATAAATCAAGTAATATAATAAAAAAGATATTTATCAATTTATTTAGTTAATAATATTGATTGTAAGTATGTATGTTGCAGTAGTGGTAGATAATCATGCGAATGATGATGAATTGGTGTCGAAAAGGCCTGGGCCTGTCGTTAATGGTCCTTATCCTTGTTTTTTATTCTTTAAAATCGTAGCATCTTACATCATACAACATAATATAAAAATCAAAAAAAAATCAAATATTTGCATTGTTTCTTGTTAGTGTCACGTGAACAATCCCGAGTTTATAATTATGTTCCTTGAAGAATTACAAGTTTCACTTTGCAACACTCATATATAGTATTACATAAAGTTAGCATGATATCTTTTGTTAAATTTAAAGAACATACTGTATACTTGCAAAATATTCTATCTACTAACGATGAATTTTTCATCAGTACTAGACCATGATGATAACAATGAATTTAATAATAACCTTAATAATGATCAAGATGATGATCACAATAGTGAGGATAATGTTAGCACCTCTAGCAAGCATGGTGGTGGAAGTGAAAGAAGTGAAATGTGGCTTTACTTTATGAAAGTTATATGGACAAAAGAAAAAAAAACAGTACAGTGCAAAAACTGCAACCATGAACCATTTTCTTGTGGAGTTAATGGTACAACCAAACCATTATGGCGACATTTAGAGAGTGCTCATTGGACAAAATATGTCTTGACAGAAGAATATAAAAAAAAAAAAAAAAAAACTCAACAATCCGGAACTCTTGAAAAATTTGCTAGTAAAAAAGTAAGTTTTTTTTTTTTATAATAAAAAAAAAAAAATCAATCTATTAAAAAGTTTATTTTAGATTTCGGCTAGCATATCCACTGAAGTTGATAATATAAAACTTCGTAATATGTTCGCTCATTGAATTATTTGTCGTCAACGGCCATTTTCCCTAATAGAAGATCCTGAATTAATCGAGATTGTGCAATATCTGAACCCCACAGCACAACTAGTTAAAGCAGATATGCTTAAAAATACAAGGGAAACACAACAAGAAGTTCCAACTAATAGTGCCGTGTGAGTTTGTTCGATGATTGGCACTTTATAATTCTGGAAAAGAAGAATTAAAGGTAATACTATAAAAATACTATAAAAACTATATAAATTTATACAGCCAACCTCATGCATTTAGAGAGACTATGCATTTAGTAAGGGTTACGATATGATTTCTCGAAAGTTATTTATCCAACAGGTCACTTATCCGACATCATACAGGGTGACAATCTGCTAAAAATGTATAGCCACAACTAATTAAATGCCAGCCCTAACCCTATGTGATGTCGGGTGAATGTCCTGCCAGGGAAATAACTTTCAGAGAATTGAGCGACAACTCCAAATCACACCCTTTATCTCTATAAGTACATGTTTCCCCAACAATGTGCACTTATAGAGGGTCGACTGTATTATTATTTATAGTACTGTCGGATCAGACCTAAATACAACCTCACTAAAGGTTGTCACTTAATTCCCTGAAAGTTATTTCCCTGACAGGACATTTACCCGACATCATAGGATTAGGGCTGACATTTAATTAGTTTCGGCTATACATTTTTAGCAGATTGTCACCCTGTGTGATGTCGGATAAATGGTCTGTTGGATACAGGTAAGAATGTTGATGTTATTACGACTGATTTTCACACGGTGTGCAACATATAAAAAAACCATTTTACAATACCAGATCATTCGGGTAGTACATGTTATGATTATAATCCAACACCATTTTTACTAATAAAAATAGTGTTGGATTATAATCATAACATATACTACCCGAATGATCTGGTATTGTAAAATGGTTTTTTTATACGTTGCACACCGTGTGAAAATCAGTCGTAATAACATCAACATTCTTACCTGTAGTTGGATAAATAACTTTCAGGGATCGTATTGTAACCGTGACTTTGTTCATGATATTGAGGTAAATTCATATAGAGTGCATTTATGGATGTAAAATTATATGAATGTATACTCATAGAGAGTATGTTTGTGGAGGGCCGACTGGATTTCCTATTGAATACTAATTTTTAATATAATAACTACAGTATTATTATATCTTCTAGTTGATTGCCTCTTTATTTTCAACGTTTAAAGTTTTTTTGAATTCTACAAGCTTATATGATTCGAAAATAACTCAAAACGTTTAAATTAATCGAGTTATTCATAGGTCGAATGAAGCAAATCAGGCACCAATCGGCATTATGCAACCCAATATGAATTTGATTTGAAACAGATATTTGGCGCAAATAGGGATTTTAAGAT